AAACAAAATATTTACCTAGTGGACCCCACACCAACCACTCATCGGTACTCAGCGCAAACACCGCACAAACGCGGCATAAGCGGCGCGCCACAGATCGCCGGCGTATCCGGCGCGGGCGATCGTGAGCGATCCATCAGAGCAATTAGGGCCGGTCGCGGGCGGCCGCCGACTCCCTTAGTGGAGGGGAGGGGCGGCGCGTTTGCATACCTACTGCCCGTGACGTGGGGAGGGGAAGGGTGGGGTCGGATGCCTGAGTTTCCTCAGTGGAGGGGAAGGGGGGCAGGGCGGTGAGAGGAAAACGCCGCCGTTTATCCGATCTAAAACGTAAACGTATATGGTGGTCGCCCCTGACTGTGCAGTGTGCATTCCGGCAGATTGGCAGATAAAAAAGGTAGAATTTGACGCTGTGGAAGGACACAAATCCCAAAAAGGTTTTATTGTTTTCAGCGACAAGAATTTCGTTTCCTTACCCATTGCTGCTGACGTTAAACGTAAGCTCTTATGAAACAAGGTTATTTGATTTTCAAGGCGAGAAAACGACAAAACATCGTCAATTACACACCCTGCGGGACGGGTAACTTCCCATGTGACCCCAATCCTTTATCCAAATGACCCGTTGATCCTCTAGTGTGACGGCTAGAGGGTGCTGTTGCAGCAGCTTACGCGGAGACGGCATGTGTTTGAGTGATGTTTGCGGAGAGAGAAGCGCGTTATACTTCTCCGCCTTAATTTAACCAGACTGAGCATCTATCGTTGTCACTTTCCCTCTTATCGCAACATTATTTTTCGTTTTATTCGCAGATATTCATTACCTGGCCGGCGTTCCGCCATACACCACCGTCTAATCCATCTCTACCTTAAACTAGAAACGAATTTCCGGAGGGCTCCGAGCACCCTCTTTAGTGAAATTACCCGCATCTGCCCCACGAGACAGAAGGGTGGCCTCTCGCCAAACCGGACGCCCCCAGACGGTCCAATCGCAGCGATAAATTTCCCTCACCGCGGCGCGCAAGAAGCCTCTCATATAATCACCAGATTGGCTGTGGAACGCTCGGTGGCGGTTCGCCAGCGCTGGCGCGTGACGCCATTGTTGTGGGTAATCAGCCGCCCTCAGGCGTCGAGGTGCGCCACGATTGCCAAAGTTCGCACGTCGCGTTGGCCGCGCGGCGCGCCGGAAAGCAGTCAATGCGGCAATAATGTGTTCATTACTGCGCGGGCTGTGACTGTGGGGACCACGCGACCCACGGGGCAGGGGAGAGGGAGTGGAGGGAGGCGGTGACAAACGGCTGCAGGGGACACATGGTGCGGTGCCGGTCGGAAGTGCGTCGGGTTTGTCGCGTCGGCAGGTGGAATGAAACAGTTCTACAGTTCGAAACAAAACCGGATGCTACGCTCGTGAAGAAATGGTCCATTCAAACAGCCTCAAGTAAATTTAATCAAGAACGAGCAAAAAGTGGACACAGATTGGCGCAGAGACAATTGGGAAAATGGTTTGTTAAGTGGGGGAAGGGTTCATTTCTGCCTGTTATTGACCCCTGCCCTGTCCCCTTCAGCCACGTTGATGGCCTTCATGGTCGCGGCGAATCAGTGGTCACCGAATTCGAACGATGAACCCTGAAACCATCACTCTGTACACGCACGTCGCACAATTCAATATCGATGCCACCCGCTGATCATTAATAACTGTATTTCAATCGCGCTCTAGGGAGAGGCGCTAATGGTCGAAATCACTTAGAGACCACTATCGACACCCGTGGCGCCCACTGTGACCGACTATGACACCCCGGGTGACAGTATATAGCGCCCTGGGGCCTGATGTCGACCAGGGGGTATGGGCCGCCAGACCAGGGGGTAGGGGTCGCCAGACCAGGGGTAGGGGCCACCAGGACAGACGGTCCAGGGAGCTCCAGGTGACGCTCGCGCTCTCTGGATACCGCTTTAAATTTTCATGTTCGAAAATGTTAAATGTAAGGAGATAAGTCGCAGTTCTTTGTTTATCAATTCTGGATTAGCTTATGATGAACGTAATACGCATCAACGAACACCGCAGCCCGGATGTTTTAAAGTGACAGGTCCAGCATAAATTCTATAACATTTAGCTATTAAAGACCGGCGTTTCTCCACTTAAGTAATTCGGTGTGATGATATTGTATTATAGGTAATCCCGATCGCTGCGTTTTTATGTTTTATCGATACTTTTTGCTGTGCCCGAGTTGATTAGGAAATGGGAAGGGGCGAGTTAGGCGAGCAGATCAGGGCTGATTAGCCTTTTTTGCTTGTTTTCAATTTGATTGAGGAGGTTGACTGAGAGGGGATACCTGACTATTGTATAAACTTTAGGCCACGCGATGGTAACTAAAATCGTATAGTGCCCCACGTCTCATCGCGTGCCTGCCTCACTTACCGGCAGCAAGTTTTCTAATTGCGCGTAGCGAATCTAAGGCAATTAATATCCCTACACAGCCGAGACGCACAAATGATGAGGATGGTGTGTACACGACCTAATATATCAACATCTAGAGTGATAAATAATGTGTCGCACGTGCGGGGCGGCCAGAAGTCAATCAATTCGGGGCAGCGGACGACCGTCTGCGCCACCATTGAACCCACACTGATCCGGACGTTTCAGCGCGCTCCATATGAAAAATTAAGTCGGCGCGCACACGCGAAGGGCAGACACAATGCTGGGGTGGCCAGAGGTGCGTCTGTCTCCCTCCGTCCGCGTGCCCTGCCGTCCAGCGAGCGACCACACCGCGCGCCGGGCCCATAACGCTAACACCCTCTCAATGGCGCCGCCGAGACTTATTTCCCGGCGGCATTACCGACGCGCGGACAACGATCTCGACGCGGTGCGGACCTTTGTTCGACGCACACGTCGTCGCGACCGTCGCGGGCGTTCAAGTGATCGTGGGGAGACAGCACCAGAGGGGGAGGGGGAGGGGTGATTGACGGGAGGGAGGCCCATCTGCCTGCCGCAATTGGGACGTATTCACGATTATTTGCCGTGGGAATTCGACAGCGAGGTGCGGCCAATATGACGCGCCGGACGACGGCGGCTGTTTGCGACAAACAATGTCGCCGGCAGAGGTGTGAGGTTATCGACACCATCGAGCAGAGCATGGTGTGTTTTGTATCTACATTCTTCTCTCAGTCTCAATCGCCGTTTGCGTAAAACTAGCGCAAAGGAATGTAGGAATGGAAGTGACGATGGAAAGATACGTGTGGAAGCTGTGAATTAGAAAGCGGGATTAAATAAATGCTTTAGTCGCTACTAACGCTGCAATTTGGCCTGCCCATACGCGTCACGTCAGTCTATACCTAAATGAGCCCGTGGGTGCACAACGCGGGCTTTGATGACGTATATATGTTGATAATTAATTTGGACTTAGCATTTAAAAGTTTGTCAGACTAACCTAGTACCTATTCTAACATCTGGGCAAAAGTGAAGACGATAGGGAGATAACCCTGCCTACGCATCGAGCAGCGAGCTGTCGCAGTCATGCTATGTTTACCTTTCTCCGCTTTTTTCTTTCCGAGAAACGGAAAGGTAAACTTTTCATTATGCATTTAATCGGATATAATATCCAATATCCGTTACAATGAATAAAAGTGTAGTGCACAAAAATGTATATATTGATCGTGGGCCCTTATTTTCAAACTCGAAATGGTGAAACTGTATTAAATTGACGCCCCACCTAGCTCGCAGATCTTTCAGTAGCGCGGTTCGTTTGGAGACTGCAACGCCGCAGGAAAAACAACCCAGTGACAAACTGGATGAGATGATATGCCCGGTCCGCGTCCGCGAAAGCAAACGTTAGTTGTAACTAGAACTTCACGTTTTACATTTTATGTAAGCACAGGCCCTGACGACACATAGCGAATGGTTTTATTTCAATTACTACTTTTCACGGTAGAAAACAGTTGCCTTATTATACCTGAATGACGGCTTATGTCGGTTCTCCATGCACTTACAGACGTTCGAGGGAAATATTAGCTCCGATACCATGAAACTGCCGTCCAAAAGGACGCTAACAATTACAAAATTGGAAAATGTTTATCCTATATCTTTATGTGATTGTGATCTGGCCAGCAGTTGTCTGGATTGAGCCATATACAGAGTCAGGTATCACACTATCACAGATCTGCAGCGGAGACTTCCATGGATCGGTAGAAATTCGTCTGAAGTGATTAACTTACTTCTACAACTTGTCTGCCTATGAAGAAAAGTTCAATTCTTCAAAAAGAAAACAATCAAATCACAACCATGAGTTGCCAACTAAAATCAAAACGGTTATAAAAAAGTCTTCAGAATATTGATTTTTTTTTGCAGACCGGGAGAAAATCCCCTACAGCGGCAAAACACCTGAGGCTAGTTACCTATATACTAACAGAAAAATCGCCGGGTGCGGTCATGTTTCGCCTTCAGCCGCCCCCGAATCTCGCCAGCCTTGAGAAAAAAGAGCCGCTGACCGGCTAGTGCAAAACTAATTATTATATAAGCCTTACATTGTAGGCATCATTTCCACATAAGAGGTTTCTGTTTCGTATGGCTAATTTACCTTGTGGGATGCTTGTAGAAGTAAAATACCCGCAGCCGGCGATTTTCTGTTGGTAAACCTGACTCCCGAAAATAATAGCAGCATTCCGTTTACGCAATGTGTCTACTGTCTACGCATAGATATTGAGCACATCCGTATACCTAGCAGCCGGTGAGCGAAGCTAAAAAACTGCCTAATGCATGCAAGTATGAAGCTGTTTGTTGGAAACCTAGCCCACCTTTCAAATCCGCATGATCCCAGGCCTCAGCAACGGGGTACCGGGTATCTAGTCCTATCCATACCAGCATCCACCGGCCGCTCATGACAGGAAAATGCCCAGTCACGTGCTGGCGCTCGACTTCGTAAAAAAAAAAACGGAACATTGAGGAATGTCCCAACTCCCGGTGACCTTCACATGTTTTCTGGTGAAAATAAGGCGAGCGGCCCCACAAATGTACTCACCAATAGCTGCCGAGGCTAGCAGGAGTAACACCGTGTTGAGCGCCGCCATGCTGTCCAAGTCCGCACCACGCCTGGTTCCGCTCCGAGTCCTCCGTCCGCCGACCTTCCCCGCTCACCGCCGCCGCTGCTCTGCCGCCGCCACCGCCGGCGGGTCCCGCCCGTGCGCCGCCGCCGCCGCCGCCGCCGCGCGTCAGCGCAGAGCGGTACAGGAGGGACACACCACCGCACCGCGCTCAGCACAGGAAGGAACGGTCACGGGCTGCGGAGTCGCGGTCTGTCGCCTGCCGTGACACAGAGGAAGCACGTCGGCCGGTAGGTGCACGTCGGTGGTTCAACTGACACCGGACGGCGTAGCTGCACGGATCGACAGGTGCACCGGTGACCAGGGTGACCAGAGGCGGAGCCAGGCACGCGCACCTGGGGGGCAGCCGGCAGGGTGCGAAGCCGGCTCTGACATCATGACCTCATGTCATGGACTTCATGATAATGGGAAATAGCAAAGCCGAGAATGCATTTATTTTTGATCGCCTTGACTTCATGTCCTATGAGCGCCACTGATGACGGGCACCACGAAGTGAAGGGTGGTGAAAGGTGCACAATGCAGATGGCCGCACCACCTGGCGGACTTATTGAGAAGCTGTCGTTTGGTAACCACATAGATGTCCCTACCATCTGCAGAGGTTTACCGGGTTAGTACCCAAGGTCCCAGCAGAAGCTTCCGCCTGTCATCCTCCGCTTCATCGATTCCATTCTCAGGATAGTCAATTCCTTCTCCTCCAGCCCGTGGCCGGGTGCGGTTTCATGGGAATGAGTGGCCTGGGGTGGCCTGTTCACGTGGTGGGCTCAGCCCCGATGGGTCACCAGGGTGCCCGCCCAGACCAATGTCTTCCCCCTAATTCCTATCATCCTTCCGGCTCTGAAATGGTCTCACTAGACCGAAAGAGCCTAACCCAACAAAACAACAAACTTACGACTGTGAGGGTAGTTAGCCCCAAGTTTAGCCATAAGGCTCCTCAAGATGGTTAGCCCAAAGCCAATCCGAACACTTCTTTGCACTTATTTATTTTAGCAACGCCAACACTTAGGGTATCACCACAGGCCAGCAGAATCAGCTAACTCGGTCAGATGTAAGCGTTGAAGCCGTCCATCTAGCATTTTCACAATGCCTATCATGAAAAGTGCCAATGATAAACGAAGCGAATTTGTGAGAACTTAATCGTCAGAACTCAGAACTAACTCATAGGCGAGCAAAAATCAATTGCTTATGAGCAATCGCAAACAAGAAAAGCTCCCCCCCCCCCCCAGCCGGAAATTCTGCCTTAGGCTACGACCCCAGCGCCACCTACAATGTGCACAGACGGCATCGTAACGTGTTTGTATATTACGAATTGCTGCGGATGGACCGGGCGCGACAGGACGGCGGGTTTGTCCCACTCCGGCGCACCGGCACAACGCGAATGTATCATAAGCGCCACGCTCGCCACTGCGCCACTGCCGCCGGCGGCTACAAGTACCCAGCTTGAAATCACCGCTTAGAGTCAACACACACTCGCGCCGGCCACGACCGCGATACGAACGCGCTCAGACCGCGACGGCGCGGTCGCTACGGTCACGGCGGGCTCTCACTGAAAGCGACCCTGCCTGACGAGCACAGCTCAGTCCGGCCGTGCGCACACCGGGCGGTGACCCGTGCCGAGTTCGGGTCAGCCTGTCACGAGCCGAGGTCAGCCGTCGCTCCGAGCACCGTCTCAGCGGCAGGACGCCACTGAGCGCTACCGGTATTGGAGCTCAGTTACCATAACAAAACGTTACTAGAATCGCTCATTTAGCTTACGTTTCCAAAGAAACCGAGCATCAACACCGGTAGCGTCGTGCGCACTGAAACAGGGCCCCGGAAGGAGGATGGAGCGGGACTTCAGCGGAACGCGAGTATACCAGACTGCACCAGCTTCTGAACCTTCCGTGCCACATCTGGGTTATCCAAATGCCTGGAACACACAGAGAAACGAGAAAGTCAGGAGAGACACGGGTGAAGGTGGAATGAATTTCAAAGCGAACAGACCGTTCGCAAGGTCATGCAGCGTGTACCTATTTGAAGAAATGGATGTTAGATAAAATTGGACGCCATTTAATTGCGTCCCAGAAAAGCTATTTCTGGCACCTAAAAGCTGACTCGCCCCAAAATTGGTCCTCAGCACCTATTTGGTGGATACCAGCACCAATCATGGAAAATGACCTTAATTAGCTGTTTCTGGCACCTATTCACCGGTACGCCTTACTCTTTTTTCTGAATCTGGCACCTAAATGCTGAGCGTAGCACCAATCTAGTAGAAAAATGAACTACTGGCTGGTAGAATCATGTTGTTCTGGTATAATGACCCCTGGAGTCTAGCCTAAAGGTTGCCAGTGCAGCTACACTCTAAGACAGCCCCGTAGTGATCTCAACATTGTATATGACGTTTAAGTAAGCAAATAATATTAATTTGTTTGAAAAAAACAATGTCATTTAAATATTTAAAAGTATTTATTTGTAATGCTTAAAGGGAAACATTTTTGTGAGTAATTGTCTCGATTTTGACCATTAAAACGGGTATTGTATTTTTTGACGTCATCAAATAGCTCCAAAAAAGAAATGTAATGTTTTCATTCCGTTCAAGGCCGCTGAAGAAACGCGGGATCTTGCGTGGGACATTGTCCGTTGTTTGCCGCGCAGAGCTGTGCCGTGGTTGTGCCTTTTTCAGGACGACGGTGAAAACAGGGCGCCTGGGGCGATTTGATCAAGGTTCGTTAAATTTACACGTGACGTTTGGCATATAAAAGGCCCATAGAGAGGGAGAAGTTCCAAATGTCACGTGACTAATATGCCCTCCGGCGCCCTGTTTTCACCGGCGTCCCTTTTTCATCCGTTTCTTACGTATGGCATATGTGTGCATGAAGCTTTGATTTTGTTTTTGGTTATTGTGTGGCCGGTCAGTCAAACGCCCCTGTAGAAACCGGATGCTGCCTTTGATCGAGATGGAGTCAGACGATGATTGCAGAAAGCTAATAATATTGAAAAGAGGGCCGGTTGCGTGGCATGTCTGTTCAGAGTTGACATTTTGCTTTACTCCAGTTTATGACTTGAGAGCCTGGCTGGAAGTGACGGATCCAAACTTTTCACGTTAAAATGGCTGAGGGTGCAATACCTAATCTCTAGTCTCTACATAGCGGGCTGGTATAGGAGCGTCTTGCTACGCTGCACCATAGCTGGCTAGTGATTCTCTTTTGGCTAGAAATGGCATTAATCATTATCTCCACTGGCGAAAATGGCACTTGACATCACCGAATGCAACGTTCATGTTGTTAGGATACATAAAATCAGGAAGATTACGCGAATTAGGTAGGCAAACGTGGAATAAAATAGGTGCTGGATGTTTTGGTTTTGGTGCTGAATCAGCAAACAGCAAATACGGAGTTCAACTAGACGATCTGGCAACTTAAGGCTGTGTGGAAGCAATTAGGTGCCAGATTCAGATATTAGGGTCGAATAAGCCTTTTGGGGCTGATCAGCAATTAGGTGCCAGAAACAGCTTTTTAGGGACCAGAAACAAATATTCCCCGATAAAATTGAAATGTGACACAGCACTATCTAGTCCAGCATTAAGTCAACCGCCAACACCTCCTCTGGTAGCTCAGTTGATAGAGCGGTGGACTGTAGCGGTTTCACAGACATCCATAGGTCGCTGGTTCAAATCCGGCCCGGAGGACGTTTTCTCAATAACTCCTCAATACTATCGCCGCACCTCGCCGCACAATCTACAGTAAGTTGCGAAACGTAATTTCTTTCATAAACCGCTGCAAAAATAGTGACCAAACTAGGACAACCATAAGCTGAAGTAGACACATACGCTATTGATAGTGACTCCCATTGTCTGGTTTAACTCAGAATGTACCGGTAGTAGCCATCCCGGAGCCCTCGACCCGTATACGCACACTTTGGCCGCTCTCGGGTCGTCTCGCATCTGGTTGAGGATCTCCCTCATTCCTGGGTCGGACATAATGTCCTGCACCTCGGGGTCGTTGAGCGCGCGCCGCTGCACCGCCGCCGGGTCACTATCGATGGCCATCATCGCCTCTTTGTACCCGTTGAGCGCCTCCTGTCGATGGTAGATGGTGGGGACGTTAGAGAGGCAGAGAAATGAAACGATGGAAGGGAGGGAGGGAGGGAGGGAGGGAGGGACGGAAGGAGAGAGTGAGCCCGAGAGGGAGAGGGAGAGGGAGAGGGAGAGGGAGAGGGAGAGGGAGAGGGAGAGGGAGAGGGAGAGGGAGAGGGAGACGGAGAGGAAAAGAGAAAGAAAGAGAGAGAGAGAGAGAGAGAGAGAGAGAGAGAGAGAGAGAGAGAGAGAGAGAGAGAGAGAGAGAGAGAGAGAGAGAGAGAGAGAGAGAGAGAGAGAGAGAGAGAGAGAGAGAGAGAGAGAGAGAGAGAGAGAGAAAGCGCAGCGCGGTGGGAGGGATGCGGAGAGAGAAGAGAGAGCTCTCTTCACGGCGCTAAACTGTTCCACACAAGCCACGCCGCAACGGTGACGCCTTCGTTGTCAATGGAGCGATTATGCAATATGCAGTTGATTAGCCGGAGAAAGCGGTTAAATTGCTTATTTATAGTAAGATTTATTGAAAAAAATGTAGCGATGGGTTACCGATAATGACCAACGTTTAAAAGAAAGCTGCCTGTTTGAAAAAAAAACTATTACCAATCGTCGCCTAAAAGGAAATGAGCATTTCCGAAGAAATGATTGAAATGGTGATGTTTTTAATAACGACTCACCGCATTGTGTTCGTCGAGTTCGAGGGCTCTCTGGAAACATTCCAGGGCCTTTTCGAACTGCCCTTTGGCCTTCAGGAGCATGCCCTTGCGAACGTGACCCTTCACTGAAAACAGAGGCCACCACGTTCAATACTTCATGCAGTTTCCTTTCACGCCTTGTTTCCGTAGTCGTTCAACACTTGCGATATTCAATTAGGCACCTCCTAAATCCCTGAGAAGAGCCAAATACTTGGGAAAAGAGATAAGGCTACCGTACACAAAAAAAAAAAAAAAACGAAAAAAGGCAGGCTTATCGACTCAAAGATTAGGCACTGAAATAAGCCGGCATGAAATATAAACCTGCATAAGCCTAAAATAGAAGCCGCTTCATGCTTACAGGCACCATCCTGTTCCGGAATTATACCACTTTGAGTATCCTCTTAACACCCTGCCTCGACCGCGACCAAGTTGAAGGACGCAGCATCTACCGCAGTCCATCCGGAAAGCTCACCGAATTGGGAGTCCAGCTCGATGCACTTGTTGCAGTCCCTCAGGCCCAGATCGTACTCGGTAAGCTTATTGTAGCAGGCGGCCCGGTTACTGTACGTCTTCGCCTCATCAGGGTTGCGCTTAATGGACTCGGTGTAGGCCTTGATGGCTTCAGGGTACCTTCCTGGGGGGGGGGGGGGGGGGGCAGGAAAGGTCACAGGACGAATCATTGTGGACAGGCTTGTAGCCAAATATAAGCGTAAACGAACATACATTTATCAACATACAAACTTTCTCATTCCGCGACTAAGTATTTATCCAAACAACATCCTCCACCTCTAAGCCATTCGCTCCAATGAGCCCTACACGGAGGTTTCGTCCAGCAGTAGTCCCACGGCCGGGACACCCACCCTCTTTGAAGAGTTCGTTGCCCCTCGCGCGCTCCTGCTCAGCCTTTTCGGGATCGCGGTATTCTCGTTCTATTTTTTCTTTAATGAGTTTCTCCACTTCGGACAGCTTAGCCTTGGTTTCCGGGGTCCTGTGCTCCGCCAGGGACGACTCGTAGTATTTCTTGGCCAAGTCGTACGTCTGCAACGGACGAGGCAATTCGTGAGACAACACAGAGTAAAGCATACAACATACCAGGGCAGCGGAGACGATAGATTTTAAGGTGACTCCGACTCCGACTTTAAAAAATCGACTCCGACTCCGACTCCGACTGCAGCATACAACATGCAACAGCAGGACATGTGCCTCACACCGGACGGGTTTCATACTTGATCAGTGCAGTGCATTGCCCACCTTCTCGTCCTGTCTGTAGGCCAGCGCAGCGCGCGAGAAGGCCTTGGCAATCAGTTTGTAGTCGGCACGGTTGGCTCGCCCCACCTCGACCGCCTTGAGCGCTGTCTTGGCGCACTCCTCGTAGTTCTTCTGCTCATACAACACAGCTGGAAGGCGGTACACGGGTCCGTCAGACGTGTCAGAAATTGGAACGCAATTGCATGCGTAGTGAGGTACTTCAGAGGCAAACCCACACAGTTTGATCACAAACTAGGAAAGATTCTATGAATTTGAAATCCACATCTTTAGCTGCGGGAATATAACAGACTGAATAACGCCAAGAACAATATAACTAGAGTCGCCACGAAGATCTTTGATGACGAACACTTCTCCCATTTTCATAGTCGAGAGGAATATCCAGTGTAAGGTTTCAAACTCAGGAATATTTCGAATGAACCAAAATAATGACCACAGGCTATCTCTTCACAGCGAAGGAAACGTCGCTGTAGTGTACAAATTAGCAAACACTGACGGATTGGTGTCTGGAAAGTTCTAGCCCTTCTCTTGGACACCACCTAAAGCGCGCGGTGATTAGTGGAAAATCAGCCTATCACCACGGGCTTAACCCCTCGTTGACCGGTCAGCTGGGGGTCGTGCAAATATGACCTTGAAATCGTGTTCACGTTCAGTGATGGGCTTCAAGATGCACCTTGCCGCTGCCTGCCCGCGCGGTGCGGCCAGGCGCGACTTGGACGAAGCGCGAATTGGCTTGAGTTAAATTTACCTATTACCGTTATCGTATCCCGGCGTTTGCAAATGCTATCGTTTTCTGTCTGCTTTACTTCTCTGTTTGTTTGCTTATTTGTTGGCTGGGGTAATTAAGGGCACGTTGCCGATGTCACTATTACTCACCAGCCTCGTTCAGAATGAAACGCATGTCGGTCGGGTCGAGCTCCAAGCCCTTGCGGTAGTGTGCCAGCGCCTCCTCAAAGTTTCGCTTCTTGTAGGCGGCATTGCCGAGCTCCTTCTCCTTCAACGCCTGTGTGATAATGGGCAGAGCGTGAGCAGCCACATCAAAGTCATTTTTAATAAGCCATAATCATAATAAGCCAAAGTCATAATTTAATATCCCATATGATTAAATCCTGCCGAAGGACGACAATCGGCTAGGTTGTACTGCAATTTAATGCAACACCTATTCAGTGATCATACTTTTACGTCAAGCCAGTGACACCGAAATCGCACGATAATTAAGATCTAACAAGTACGAGTATAAATCGCTATTGACGGAGGTTTTGAGGCCGTTCTCGTTTTTCGCCACCACCGAGCCTTATCGGGTGCCTGGTTGGTCCGGCCGACGCCGGCCGATTCAGGTGGTGAACCACCCAGCGCCGCAGTAACCCTCTTATCGGCCGGCGCTCGCCGCACGTGCAGCGGCGGTATCGCCGCCCCACTAACCGCGAACCGGGGATAGGGGGTAACAAAGACCACTCACACCGGGAACTGACAAAAAAAAAATGTGATGGCTAAAAAACGACTAAAAATGGCTAACATGGCTAAAAACGACATTTGCTCACCACATCTAGACGATTTTAGCAATGAAATGTGACTTTAAATTGAATCAATTGTTCAACAGTGATTCTGTCTGAAAAGTTGTGTAAACGACCTATAGCAAGAGAGCATAAACAAAACAGTCATAGCTATCCGACTTCTGGAGATAATTCATATTCCATAGGTTATTCAACACCAAATTTTCATCTCTTTCACATGCTCTAATTCAACAGTGGCATTAAAATTCAATACTTGGTCAAATCATGCAACAGGATACCTACCCTCAAGGTGATAAATTTCAGAAAGCTTGGGTGTGTACAAATATGACACACTTTTGCTAAGAAAAAGATTGGTCCTATCTTCTACAAAGACACCACCATTTCTAGACAAGAACTTACCTCTTCTGAATTTGACATGGCTGCAGTTTGGTCTTTGTTGGCAGCTATACAGATGGGTGCCCAAAATATCTGAGCAGCTTCAGCAACTGACTGTGTCTATTTCCAAGGACCGTTTACCAGCCCTGATTGGTACACCTGGGAATGAGTGACAGACATTTGTAAGGATTGCACTGTTTGTTCTTTTCTGATGTTAAAATGAGCACTGGCTGATCCAGGAAGGCAGTCTTTGCCCTTGTGTTGTTGTTTTGTATTAGGGTGTGTAGCAAAGCAACTTTGCCCTTGTGGGGACTGGGGGTATACCTACCCCTAAAAAATGGTTGGTAGCTAGGTTATAGGTTGTAGGTTGTGGGTTGTAGGTGGTTGCATAGGTTGCAAGTGCAGTTTGGTAGGTTATAGGTATGTATGTTGTAGGGCCTGTTCCAGCGCCTCCAGTAGAAATTCTTGACTGGAGGCTCTACCAGAGGTTTCACTGGAGGCGCTGGAACGCAATCTGGAGATTTCTGGAGATTGGCATCACAGATACCAAAAGAATGAGGATTGATCTCTCTTGAAATGCAAAATTTATTTTCAATCTTATTAAGAAAGATTAGCAAAATTATAGCAATGTAATTTTCTTTACATTCAAGTTGTAAAGCAATCAGTCAAAAGTCCTTTGTTTACATTTGTGATTGTCACATGTGTGCCATAATTGTAGACCAGAGCCTCCAGAGAAATTTGGACCTCCCAACTCTCTGGAGGCTACTGGAGGTTTCTGGAGCTTTGACGAGAGCTTTCTGGAGCTTTCTGGAGGTGCTGGAACGCTCTCTGGAGGATTCTAGAGCTTTCTGGAGCTTTCTGGAGGTTTCTGGAGGTGCTGGAACAGGCCCTAAGTAAGGTTAGGTCAGGTTATGTTTTTTCTACTCAAATTTCATCTTCACATTTACAAAAAAAAATCACATTACCAAAAGCTAATTTGATTTTGAATTATTATGGCTGTCATGCAGTTTAAAACAAACTTGAGCTTTCCATACTGATCTACTTTTTAATTTCTTTGTACCCCCAAACCTGTCAATTATTCTTATCTTGATCTTTAATTGTGTGCTGCAGAATGCCTTTGCCTCAAATCCCCCTGATTGCCAGTGGCCTGGGGTTGGGGGTACCAATAATGTCCTCCAACACAGGGTGGTGAGGTGACCTGCGCACAACACAAGGATGAAAATGGAAGCACACTGCCCCACTCAACACTGGAATGTCAGTTGGGCAAACTAGACCTTTGGAATCAAAATATGGAGGCATCAAAAGATTGATTCCTTTTGGGCATAAATGCAGACCATTTCTAACTTACCAATCACATAAAAATAAGAGAGTGTTTCAAGAAGGAGCATGCCTGATCTTGAACAGAAATGCTTGAACTATCTTCTAAGCAAAATAATATTGCTCCTATCATAACAATTTGAATTCTAAAGGTAGTGAAAGGCAATCAAGGAATTGATTCACTTTAAACAGATAATCATAATATTGATTCCCCATCAGCTGGCTAATCATTATTTTGATTCACAGGTAATGTTCACAGATAGGCAACAATGACTTGCAAGAATACAGCATTTATCTTGCTATTATTCTCATTTAGTGGTATCCTCAGCACCACAACTGATGCCTATAGCATTGTTGTACTTTACTTTCACTACATTTGATAACAATTCACAATTTTTAAATGTCAAGAATACAAAAACTGAAGCAACAGGTAAAAACCATATAAATAATATAAACGCACTAGAACAATGATAATTAGGGGTTTAAAAATTTCATTTTGCCATTTTACACAAATACTGATTGGTTAGTATGTGATTCATGATACAAAAATAAAATACAGTGTGATTTCCTCAAAACAGCTTTTACGTGATGGACAGTGGCTCTTTCTTTTTCCCATTCATAAGGCCAAAGGGACAATTTCTTAGCTTTGAGGTAACACTTTTTGCAAACCTACCACATTTTTCTATCTTTTAAAAGAAAATCTCACCGTCATGGGCCTTTTTTCAACCGTAACGATTCATTTGAAGTCAAAAGTGTACCCAAATGAATCAAAAAATTGATTCCATGCCCATATTTGGTCATGGCTCCTCCCACCAGAATCAAATTATTGATGCCTCCATATTTTGATTCCAAAAGTCTAGTTTGCCCAACTGATGTGTCTCAGCTTACCACATCACATCAAAGCATTAGCAAACTGGTCATTTCAGTAGGTGGAACTATGGTCATGAGTACCCAAATATAGGAACGTTCCCATTTTTGGGAACGGAGTTCCCAAATATGGGAACGGGCGTTCCCATTTATGAGAACGGAAGGTAATTTTTCGGCCGTTCGCCTGCTAAAACTCATTAGTGCATCACGTCTCAAAAAAGTGCACGCTAATTTAAGTATCTACTAATTCTCTATAAAATTATCTTTAATCTGACCGTTGAACAAGGAAATTGACCGTCGAATGATATTTTTAATGATTTTTTGAAATGACGGAATGGTGAAAACATGGGTTATACTACATTTAACTTGCAATTTTAAGGAAAATGAAGCGTTTCTTACATTTTGAGGTCAAGTATAATAATTTTCGCCTGGTTATGAAGTTTCATACTAGCGACACCAGATGCTGACATATGCAAGCGAACACGCGCACAGTCCCGGGGTAATATTGTTGACATTTGGTGTCGGGGCGGACGACCAAGTGGAACGCCAGTGATTTTACCAAACTACTGTTGTAAACTCAGTTTAAGTGGTCGAAAATTATTCAGCTGTATTTTATCATCCCGGAAAGACATATTTTATTTGGATGCTAGCTGTTTAGCGCTGTTTTATAAGGGCGCTGTTCGGCGGCCGGCTAGCGCGCTAGCCCGTGCACACATACGTGCACGTTGCCCCGGCAACGGGCTATTGACCAATGAGAAGCGCGCTACAGGGGGGCACAGGTATATGAAAAATCGCAGTGACGTTGCACTTTCCTCGCTTCTCATTGGTCAATAGCCCGTTGCCGGGGCAACCAGCACGTATGTGAGCGCCGGCAAGAGTACTAGCCGGCCGCCGATCAGGGCTAAGGAGCGTCATGAGCGTGGTTTTTGTCATCCGTGTTTCTAACCATGATCGTTTTGGGGGAATTTCTCTTATATAGGTCGCTCTGTGTGACTTATTTATAATTTTTATGCTGATTTCGATCATTCCTCGTGCCCATCCTACCAGGCCTTTTGCCACTTACACTCATCAAGAAAGGAAAAAACTAGATTTTCATTGGGACTAGGCATGGGTGTCGTTTTGTATAGGCATGGTAGGGCCCGAGCCCTACCAATAATTTTGGAAATTTAACATTATGCCTATGGCGTTGCGTGGAAAGAATCGCTTTGAATTGGCAAAAATTTACATTAGAGCCCTACCAATAATTTTCGGAAAGTGTCGCCCCTGGGACTAGGTGTTTTGAGGGTGTAACATATTCAGCGTTCCCATTTTTGGATACTTCCCTGTGCTCGTTAACTATCGGTGATCAACAGACAGGTGCTTGACATGTCTCCGCCCTCGGCGCGGACGGTGGATATAGGTATGGAAGACCTTGTTGAACATCGCTGAGCGTTGTGAATTACGTAATCCTGCAGAGGGGGGCGTGCCCGCTGCAAGATCGACGGAAATAAAAGCGCAGAAGACCGGGCAAACATGCGACGGTCTTGCCGGAAAGGTCATCTGATGATTGTTGCGTTAACAATAATTTGCGGCGTTGGACGTGATGCTTGTTAATGAAAAGAGCCCATGAAAGGCGTCGGTGAAATCGTTCCCAATTTTGGGTACGCCGTTCCCATAATAAGGAACGCTTGCAGCGCCAGTGTACGAGAGCGTTCCCAAATTTGGGCTCGCGGCCCGGATGATGGACTGCTTTAGAAATAGGGGAACAATTTGAAACTACGATGGGCCTTACAATATCGAACTTTTTCCCAACAATATCGAGACAAATATCAGGCGGTTCACAATCATTTTATATTTTTTGGACGTCATTTAACGGTTCTTTTTCTTGTTTTAAATAATGCCTACATGGCGTTCCCATATTTGGGTTTATCGTTCCCAAAAATGGGAATGAAAATGCGTTCCCGAAAATGGGTACGCTTGACCATAGTTCCGCCTACTGATTTGCTTTAATTGGTAAAATCAGCATTTAATGATTAATGAGTCTGATATTTCGCAAAAATCCTACGAGCTCAAACTTATTTACTGGAAAAATGTCCAGCTCATCACCGTCCGATTGGGGGCATGCACGGGCATTGAACTGGAGAATCAGAATCGGAATTTGATGCCTTACCTCGAGGCTCGGTTATAAGCGAATTAGCGACTCGAGTATTATCAACACCAGGAACTAGTATCAGACTTCCACACTCACTTCAACTTGTCAGAGTTTTCGAGACTGAAAGATAACGTCAACGCCAACGCCGGCCTCCTTTTCCCAGCGCTTTCGTTCCTCGCTCCTCACCCTCCTCACGTTTACCACGCGCGCGCCGGATTTGCACCGAATTCCGTTTGTTTCCACGGGTGGACAAGGCTATAAAATTAAATCGCATGCTGAAGCACGGGCGACCTTCAGCCCGTCAGCTGGGCTGGGCTGGGCCGAGAAGCTTCGCGAACAGAGCGGCAAGTTTACTAAAAAAAGGTCAGGCCCGTCACCATTCACCAGCGTGGTGTGGTTGACCGAAAGGTGTTAAAATAATGAAATATTTATCATTACACATCTAATATTACTAGCAGCTTGTAATTTCACGTTCTGGATTGTGGGATAGGGTGTAAAGACTCAAGAGGAGCGAGCTAAGTATTTATAGTCACCGTGGAGCTAAGGACAGTAGAAATGTCTGAGCAGAGCACACGGGGCAGGGACGTAGCCAGGGTCTTTTCTCGGGGGGGGGGGGGGGGATCGGATAAGTGACGGGGACGAAGACGGGGGCGGGCCAGGGCTGGACGGACGCAGGTGCGGCGGTGGCCAAGATGACCAGAGGCGAAGCAAGGAACGCGCACCGGTTGTGAAGCCGGTTCTTTTTTCGAACACATCATTGATCGCAAGGTCGTATACGAAGGTCGTGCCGTGGAGTGTAAACTACATGGTTATGATAAATGTAAGGCGATACTGAGCAAATAGCAAATATCGATCGCCTTGGTCCCAAGTCCTTAAACTATCATAAGTGACAGGCAGCACCACAGTAAAGTGAAGGGTGATGGCATTCAGCGGCGTATTTAGAAAATCGCGAAGGGGGGGGCCAAGGGTTTGGAGGGCGCCACCTCACCCAAGGAGGGCGCCATACGGTCGCGAGATAAAAAATCGCTCAGTGGGGGTTGGGGGGTTGGGAGGCGTTTTTTACCATGCCACCAGTTTTTTTTGCGTAACCTCGTATAGGTCGTGCTGCATTGATTTTGCATCGTGTGTATTCTTTATACTCCAGGTCACAAAAGGTCAAGTGTTCTTGAAATGCTGCGCCGAAGGCGCGCGAAATTTTTGAAAACAACCTTTTCCTCCGCTTTTTAGGCACGCCTTTTATACGATCACTGTTCAAAGCTCCTCTCGCTCTTTTACCAAATTTGAAGGTGTAAAAAATACCTAAGGTTTGGTCGGGCCGCTGCCACACAAACTGTACAGAAAGCTTGGCTCATGGGTGTCGATGTATAAAAGTTTATTGGCGGTGGCATATCTACGCACCAGATCACCGTATCGGATTGATACCGGAGCGCGAGATGCGTAAACATCATCCAAATTACCTCAGACCAGCCTTCATAGCCTTCTCACAGATGCATACAGTGTACCCACATAACCAGTTTCAATCACCGAAACTTCAGATGCCTGCTGTTGCGCCCGAACCTGTTGACAATACTTAATCGTAATCCATATAGATGCCATGATGCACGTAAAGTAGGATCAATCCGTTAAGACCAAAGACGTGTTTTATGCATCGTAGAGCGTAGATAGTTTTGGTAGGTATAGATACTTCATTCATTGTGGTGAATGCACGTTCATTTGTGGCAGTTTTCACAGGCAAGACATCAACTATGTGCAATAGAACGACTAAGTTGAAAAACATGCCAAAGGAGTAAATAAATGATAGGAGGGCAGCGATCAACGGATGTTGCTAATAGGTAGAAGGGCTGCGATCCACAGGAGGGCACTAATAGGTAGAAGAGCCCCGATCAACATCCCGAGTTTCGACAGTAGGGCACCGATAGGTAGGAAGTTGGCGAGCAGCAGGAGGGCGCCAATGGATAGAAGGGCAGCGATCAACAGGAGGGCACCAATAGGTAGGAGGGCGCCGATCAACAATCAACAGGAGGGCGCCACCAGGTAAGAGGGTGGCGAGGAACAGGAGAGCACCAATAGGAGGGTGGCGATCAACAAGAGGTCGCCAATAGGTGGGAGGGCGGTCATCAACTGGAAGTCGCCAATAAGCGGAAGGGTGACGATTAAAATGGGGGTGGCAATGGTGAGGAGGGCGCCTTTGCTCAAGAGGATGACACGAACAGGAGGGCGTCTGTGCGGAGGGCGCTGGTCAACAGGAAGGTGCCAGTGGATAGGAGGGCGGTGATCAACAGGAGGGTGCCAGTGGTTAGGAGGGCGGCGATCTACACGAGGGCGCCAATAGAAGGGCCCCGATTAACATTCAACAGGAAGGACTAGGGAACCAATAGGTAGGAGGGCGGCACTGAACAAGAGGGTGCCAAAAGGGAGAAAGGCGGCCTTCAAAATTTCACATGAGGGCTCAATAGGTAGGAGAGCGCCAATAATTATGAGGACGCCGATCAGCAGAAGGGCGGCAATGTGTAGCAGGGTGGCGACCTACAGGAGGGCGCCTTCGGGTGAGAGGGCGCTTATTTACAGGACAGCGGCTTACATAGGCGACCACCGTTACGCTTAGAGAGCTACAGCCTACAAATGTGGTTGGAGAGCGCCCGAGGGAGCCCTCCAACCGTATTTGGAGGGCGTATTTGGAATGGGCGTCCTCCGAGGGCGCCCTCCATCCGTATTTTCCCTGTAAACACATTCGCGATTGGAGGGCGCCCTCCAGTCGCGATTGTTTTTCGATTCGATTATATCACAATTGCATTTGCGATTGGAGGGCGCCTTCGGCGCCCAAGGGGGGGGGGGCCATGGCCCAGTGCCCCCCCCCCCCCTGCCTACGCCCCTGATGGCATTGATCAACTGATGACTTGAGGCACATTGCAGATGGCCGCACCACCTGGCGGACATATTGTGAAGCCGCGCCTTGACTAACTCATTGATGTCCGTACCGTTTGCAATGGCCCTCGCAAAACCCGAGAACACTGGGTTTCCCGATCCAAATAATTCGTCCAAAGGAGTTGAAAGGACTCGGCACTCGGCAGAACCTTTCGACCGCAAGGATCGTTTTCCATAAACACATCACTTCTTACTTAGCACGCATCTTCTAGCGAACAATGCGAATACATACAGCACGTCGCTAAAGACTAGGGCAAGTACCTAGCGCGAATTCGCCCGGTCAGTTGATAACTAGGCCTATTCAACTTTTTTTGGTAATGGCAATTCGCAATCATGATAAGTCCAAACGATAAAAAGCATATGAATATATTTTAGCTTATTGATAGAAAGACGGTCATTGGCAAACATAAAAGCAATTTGTTTGTTTGTTTTGTTGGGTTAGGCCCTTTCGGTCGACAAGACCATTGCAGAGCCGGAAGGATGATAGGAATTAGGGGGAGACATTGGTCTGGGCAGGCAGATAAAAGCAATTAGCAACAGCACTTATGATCAATAACAAGCTCAGCCTCCAAGCCCGGCGCAGTATGCCTTGCTCGCGCAGTCATCCTAGCGCCACCTACATAACACACAGACGGTATCGTATCACTATTCATGGCAGGGGAGGGCGGGGGAATGTCGCCCATCGGGTGATACCGCCCACCCTGGATCACGAATTGCTGCGGATGGACCGGGCGCGACAGGACGGCGGGTTTGTCCCACTCCGGCACACCGCGAATGTATCATAAGCGCCACGCTCGCCACTGCGCCACTGCCGCCGGTGGCTACCAGTATCCAGCTTAAAATCGCCGCTTAGAGTACACACTGGTACATACACACACACTCGCGCCGGCCACGACCGCGATACGAACGCGCTCCGACGGCGGACTCTCACTGATATCGACCCTGCCTGGCCGAGTTCGTGCCCATTTCGGGTGAGACACGTGCCGGGGTCAGCCGTCGCTCCAGACGACAGGGTAGAGCGGGAGTATCAGCGGAACAAGAGTATACCCGACTGCACCAGCCTTTGAATCTTGTGCGCCACCTCCGGGTCCTTCATATGCCTGGCAAAGAGAGAGAGATGGATAAGTCAGGAGAGAGACACGGTGAGTTTCAAAGCTACATGTCGTCCAAGAGCCAAGAGACCATACAGCGCGTATGTAAAAAGGATCCTGCATGAATTCTGAGAGGATACACAACACTGTGCATACCAGTTTTCAAGCCCATCGGCCCCAACTCCTCTGGTAGCTCAGTTGGTAGAGCGGTGGACTGTAGCGGACACACAGGCATCCATAGGTCGCTGGTTCAAATCCGGCCCGGAGGACTTTTCTTATCAAATCCAGTCGGTACCGCAACCTAACTAGAGCAAAGGAAATATAGCGGCCTCTCTCTATCACACTGCTCTACCATTAGAGATTACCTATGCAAAAAATAGGTACCAAATTAGGACAGAACTAGGTGGTAAAGTTTCCGTGCCTTTAACTCATTACCATTGCTTGGCTTAAAGGTAGTGTGCCACCTTTGAAAGATTCCCCATTTTATTTTTCCTAGGATAAGAAGCTTCTGTTTTTACATAATATCGCAAAAAAAAAATCAAAAATGGGCCTGGAATAGTGCCTTTTTCGCCTAAAAGTTTTTCGGTTTTTAGATATGTATAACAACTGTAGTGGGCTCACCTGCAAACAGGCGTCGGGCAACAATCGCGAATGCGGCGCACTTGTGACAATAAGCAAAGGTCATTATAGTGTTACGACCATACGACGTACGGGAATGAGTTATCAGCTGTCTAATCGTAGACAACACAATGTCGAGCCTTAAACTGTATTGGTATTGTTTCTTTTATTTGGCTGTCGAACATTATTTATGGTTTGAAATATGATTTTATGTAAAATAATTGATATGAAAAAGCCGTCTTATAAGTTATGACCCCATTTCACCACACGCAAGTGGCAGAAATGACAATGATCAGCTGACGCATTTTTCTTGGCCGAAGTCAGAGCGCGCGGCCCGACGCACCACGCGTATTTGGAAATTCCGACCTCGACGAGCATCAGAAGCCACCTAACAGGCGTGTTCGAAACCGCAGGAGATGATGATGAACGGGTTTATCGAAACTTGATTGGATGAGCATATCGGTAATAGCGATTTCAGTGTGTGCATTTATTGTTCATAGTGGTGTGAAATGTGGTTGGGGTACGACCGACAACCCGTCGGGGCGAATTTCGCACTGGGGTACTCAAAATTTGAAGAATTTAAGACGTTTCCATGAGTTTTGAAGGTATGGATAAGTTCTAAAAATCCGGTTCTCCTTACCTGGGCCATTAACTCCATACGGTCCAAGAAAGCTGGCACACTACCTTTAAGTCGTAACTCACAAATGCTCGCCGTTATAATAGCAGTAAGGCACGGCCTACGCAGAGGCGTCGCTATTGCCAGGATTCCCATTAGGGTGTGTCATCGAGGGGGTGATTCTCGCAGAATCAAACGCCGTAAGGTTTTTCCTTGGCACATTGATCAATAATGAATTTTCATCCATATCCGAGTCCACCAAAATTAAAATTCGTGCGGCGCCAGCCGTTCAAAGTTTTGGCGCCCGGCGTTGCAGTCTCCAATGCTGAGCGTCACCCAGCACTGCGAGTAACACCAAGTATTGTAGGAGGTAATAATGCAAAATAACTACCGCTGAAAATGATGCTTTTGAGCGCTTCTAAGGCTGATTGTTGCAAAAAAGCATGTCCTTAGAGTGTCCAATTATTCTTTTTATTGTGCTCAATGAATTAAATCGAGCATGGCTTCTGAAACTAAAGAAGAAGCTACCCGATTTTGAGAAGCGGGCGGGGTGGAGGCGGAGACGGCAAGTGACTCAGATTCGTCTTCTGAAAACACCGACTCCGTGGCATCCTCTGGGCGGTGCTTCTTCTTCTTCTTCTTCTTCTTCAGCATGTCATCTCGTGTGACCTGGCCCGTCTCCACCAGGAAGTCCCGGATGAGTCCAGCCTCGGTGGAAAGGATCTCCCTCAGCGTCGGCAAAGGGCCCCACGGGCGGGTCCGTGGCCCCTGGTAGGCGGGGTAGTCGACCAACAGGTGTTTGGCCGAGTCCGGTTCGTCGCAACGGACTTTCTCGTCAGACTCGGCCGGACCGAGTCGGAATCGGGTGTCTCCGGTGAGTGGGGAGCAGCTCACGCGGAGCTGTGCCACTGTGATCGACGCTCGGCGGTCCAGTTCTCTCTCCGTGGCCCAGAGCGCCACATCGTCCGCATTCGCAGATGTGTACCTCCAGTTCCCGAGCCGCAGTTATAGCCGGTCATACGAGCCTGCAGGGTTAGCGTCCGATGGCTGCGTTGGTCCTTCAGGAAGACAGCCTCCTCCTGAGTGACTCAGTGGGCGATGAGACTTTTGAACCTGCTCTGAGAGTTGCATTTGCATTTGGCGATATCCAGGAGTTGTTGAATTATGCAGTGGCGGCGCTTTGCTGGTTCCCTGTGTCGTGCTATAATTGTCGTATGGGCATTTCCTAATCAGCTACGTTTTTTTCGCCTCGTGAATTATGATCCGGATAGCATAGGGCCCTGCCGAAAGTGACACGGCCGCGTACAAAACATTTCGTGATAGGACAGCCGGCACTTTTGTCCCAACAGCGACTGCTGACTAAAGCAGAGGCCTTCAGTTATGTCAGGTGGCTGAGTGCTCAAAGAAGAAATCCAACAAATAGTGCATTTAGGGCCGTGGCGAAAAAAGGACAAGGCAACTCTGAACTAATGAAGGAATCCCTGTTCGCGATCTATGTAAAACACACGACGAAAGTGATCAAAAGGGACTGCTATAAGCCCTACAGACAGCCCTACAAGTACAGACTTCTGAACAAAACACCAGAGACACAGGAAGGAACAAAGCGCCGCCACTGCATAATTCAACAACTCCTGGATATCGCCAAATGCAAATGCAACTCTCAGAGCAGGTGCACAAGTCTCACCGCCCACTGAGTCACTCAGGAGGAGGCTGTCTTCCTGAAGGACCAACGCAGCCATCGGACGCTAACCCTGCAGGCTCGTATGACCGGCTATAACTGCGGCTCGGGAACTGGAGGTACACATCTGCGAATGCGGACGATGTGGCGCTCTGGGCCACGGAGAGAGAACTGGACCGCCGAGCGTCGATCACAGTGGCACAGCTCCGCGTGAGCTGCTCCCCACTCACCGGAGACACCCGATTCCGACTCGGTCCGGCCGAGTCTGACGAGAAAGTCCGTTGCGACGAACCGGACTCGGCCAAACACCTGTTGGTCGACTACCCCGCCTACCAGGGGCCACGGACCCGCCCGTGGGGCCCTTTGCCGACGCTGAGGGAGATCCTTTCCACCGAGGCTGGACTCATCCGGGACTCCCTGGCCGGGTCACACGAGATGACATGCTGAAGAAGAGGAAGAAGAAGAAGCACCGCCCAGAGGATGCTTCGGAGTCGGTGTTTTCAGAAGACGAATCTGAGTCACTTCCCGTCTCCGCCTCCAGTTCCACCCCGCCCGCTTCTCAAAATCGGGCAGTTTTTTCTTTAGTTTCAGTAGCAATGCTCGATTTAATTCATTGAGCACAATAAAAACAGTAATTGGACACTCTAATGACATGCTTTTTGCAACAATCAGCCTTAGAAGCGCTCAAAAGCATCATTTTCAGCGGTAGTTATTTTGCATTATTACCTGCTGCAATACTTGGTGTTACTCGCAGTGCTGGGTGACGCTCAGCATTGGAGACTGCAACGCCGGGCGCCAAAACTTTGAACGGCTGGCGCCGCACGAATTTTAATTTTTTGCAAAAACGGTTGCTATGCCGTGTGTTTGCAGGTCTCAGTGCCAAGGAATTTCTTTACGGCATTTGGTTCTGTTACTGATGACACACCCTAATTCCCATGCTCTCCATTAACCCTCGTCGACCGAGGAAGGGGAGGGGGTGGGGGATGGCGAATGCAGGTGCCACTCCTGTTTTTGTTTGTTTCTTTGTTTGTTTTTTTACTATCTCTCGGAACACCCTGGCGATAACGAGCTAGTCCCTTGTATTCCCTAACCTTTGATTCAAGCCGGATCTTGTGACACTAACTACATTTTCAGGTCAGGTCCCTGAACCATGACATCGTAAGTGAACCAGCAGCTCTGCACGACCCTAACATGTCGCAGCTTCGCAATGCCCTCAGTGTCAAAGGAACGTCTATAGGGAGATGAAATTGATAGGACCTAGGTAGCATCCTCCAGAGGCCTTAAAACTTAAGTATTTCAAAATTTTCCTTAAAGGGACCCTCCCACCTTCAAAAAAGTTAATTAATTGGCATGAAAGTGATGTCGCTCGGTTCAGAAAGAGCAAAAACGAATATCTACCAAATTTCATCGAAAAATATTCACCGGTTTTCAAGATATTACTTTTATTTTTGTTTACTTTTTGGGATCTCCGCTGTTCCTAGCGACTTTATTTGAAAGTGCGGCATTTGTTGCGCGCAAAGCAGCATATACCACCGCGTGCTACAAAACGTTTTAGTCTAACATTTAACGGACGTTCGAAAGCCTGATGACGTCATCAGATTCCCGTAATGGTTAAGAGATAGGGACCACGCTGGTCCCACCCTGCAAGTAAAGGGAAGAAATTTCTTGACCACCATAAAGCTGCGGGGGTTGCGACCAGGATAAATGGTGGTTTCTGAGCCTGGCCGCAAACTTGGCTATCTCAACTCAAAACTAATGTTAAGGTGGGAGGGTCCCTTTAAACAGAGCCCCCGTCCCCCCTACCAAGAGGGTCACGCCAAAGCCCTCCCTCCCTCCTACCCCCCCCCCCCCGTGTACGTACTCTCTGCCGGCGAGCGGGTCGTCCCGCATCTGTTGAATAATTTCCATCATCTTCTCGTCTTTCATGGTATCGTCAACCAGAGGATCGTAGCGCGCGCGTCGTTCCACTCCCGCTGGGTCGCTGTTGAGGATCATCATCACCTCCTTGTAGCCTCTGAGCGCCTCCTGTCGACGGTCGATAGAGGGAGGGCGGTTAGAGAGGGAAAAGGGAGAGAAAGAGAGTCAGAAACAGGACAGAGACAGAGACAGAGAGAGAGAGAGAGAGAGAGAGGGGGGGAAGTGAGAGAGAGAGAGAGAGAGGGAGAGAGAGGGGGAAGAGAGAGAGGGAGAGAGAGAGGGGAGAGAGAGGAGAGAGAGAGTCAGAGACAGATAGAGACTGAGACAGAGGGTGTACCGCAAGCACCGACTAACAGCAGCAGCAAAGTCCGAAGGGGTACCTGGAGCGAGATATTGCTAGCAAGGCACGGTATTATTTCGCATATCTTTGTGGTTTCCAATATACAATTGGCTTGTTACACCACAGCGTCATACAAATACACATACCGGCTGCCATGATATACAGAATAAAATATACATGGACGCAGTGGCGTGAGTGATGCCTAAAAAAAGCTAAAAAAAGACATGTAACGACTAGCTCAATGACAAGGCTAAAAGATGGTGACGCAATGTAATATAAAACACTCTTGTTTAAAATGATGGTAGGTGTGTGCGTGCTCTAGAGTTTGGTAAGCGGTACCAACACGTCCCACACAAGCAGCGCCATGATATAAATTGACAAACCGACAGTTCCGGTGTTAGTGGGGTTGTTCTGCGGCTGATAAGCCAGAGAGAGTGGTCATATTCTTAATCTACTCGTATTAACATAAATCACTGCAATACGAGACTTGTTGAAAAACATGGACAATGGGCGTCAACGATTTCACAAATGTTTCAAAGATGATAGAGCACCCACTATCAGACGTTCCCTAGCCTAACCGTTTCCGACTTCCGAGCTAATTATCGAAACGGTGACCTCTTAAACAACGACTCACCACACTGTTTTCGTCGAGTTGGATGGCTCGCCGGAAAGACTCCAGGGCATTTTCGTAATCCCCTTTGGCCCTCAGCGAAATGGCTTTGCCAAGGTGCCCCTTCACTGAGAACAGAGGTCATCACTTTTAACATGTCATGCCTTCAACGCCGCGTTTCCACGCAGTCACTCAACACCTGTGGCATACCTACATTTAGGCACCTCCCAAATCCCTGAGAGTAGTGAAATAACTGGGAGAAAAGATAAGGTTACCGTACAAAAAGAAAGCAAGTTAATCGACTAAGAAGTTGCAGAAATATCAACCCGCATGAGAGTGAGACATGAACCTACGTCCCACACATGCCAAAAACATCAGTAAGACCGCCTTCTGGGGCGAAAAACGAGCCATCGAGAGTAAGCCCCCCACGAGCGGAAGTGCGAGAGGGTTCTTTCGACTGACTTGTGCAGTGTGCACGGCACCCTACTAACCGATCTCTAGCGGTGTGCAAAATTTGAACACAATCGGCCCAGCCGTCCTTGAGATGTGGAAGAGGCACCCTGCACGTGCGCACGCACACGTGGAAACTGGGTCTCAACTGACTTTCACGGCGCCCTGCTCGCCGGTCACTAACCGTTTTTCATATTTGAGCGCAATCGGCCCAGCCGTTCTCGAGATTGATCAATTAATCATGTAGTTCAGCTTGCATCCATAAAATGGGTTTTCAGCACACAGTCACACACGGCGATCAAAAGGTAAGAGGTAAAATACAAAGCAATAAAATGAATATGGCATAAAATAATGATAAGATGTGTTATCATCAGTCTCCACCTAGGCCACGTCTAAATACCGTCAAAGCTGGCGAGTTCCTCACATGGCTCGGTAGCCGGTTCCCTGTTCTGACGGCTAGCGCCAGAAACGCACGGCGGGCAAACTCGGCGGAGTGCGTGGCGCCTCCAGAAAACGGTCGTCTATATGGCTCTGGTTGTTTGAGTAGACGCATCGACGCGACATGGGATGTGTGCGGCGTGCGCGCAACAGTTCCGGGGTAATGTCATCGTGTAAGAGGTGATGCATCGTGCACAGGCCGTGCTCCACTACCATGTCACCCATACCGCTCCAGCCCAGCTCTGAATGAGCCGCTGACGTGGTCCCTGCGGTTAACCCGGAGACAAGGCGGGCTCCAGAGCTCACGGCCTCTCTTCTGGCGGGCCGCAGTACAGCTTTCCCGCACAGACACGCAAAGTGGGGTACCACCAGCGCCTCTACAAGCAGAGGCCTGGATTCGCACGGGATACCGCTCTGCATTCCGGCAAGTCCGATCAGTAGCATCGTCTGACGATAATCGAGACATACTGCTTCCACGACAGACACGAGGCAACGGTGACGCCCGGAATTTTAGCCGATTGTACAGTACTGATTTTGATCTGCCAAATTTCACAGCGAAATTTGTAGCTTAAATTTTGTGGGATGCTCTCAGAACAATGAATTCCGTTTTAATGTTGATAAATTCCGAGATCTGGAAGTGACCTCTGTAGGTGCGCACGCGCCGTAGCACCCCATTTACGAAGGCAAATGTGAATGCATTGCCCGGGTGGGCGCCTCCTGGCTACATATCAGTTTAGGCACGATCGGCAAGGTATTGCAATTGTTGCAAATTTGACCTCATCGTTTTGCACGAGGCACGGCAAGTGGTGGTAATGCACATGCATAGAAAGTAGCTGCATTCATGATTTATGGGATGAAGCCAGTGTCCCAAAATTGAGTTTTGTCTGGGGTGTCAGAGGGGAAAATTACCCACCAAAAAGAGGGGAGAGTGGAAAACTGCTGATTTGATTAGATCCAAAAAGAGTGAGAAACGCCATAAAACATGGATTTTATTCTAGGATGTAGAATGTTTGATGCTAAACCGGGCATTCAGAACTGACAACCGCTCTTTCTAGAGGTAAAAAAAAATCTAGGTTTTCTTGGTTGGGAGTGGAAAATTGTTCTTAAAAATTGGTGGTGAGAGTGGAAAATGGATTTCCTTTGGATGTCATTTCCCACCCAAATCGACAAATTTTGGGACATTGGATGAAGCCATATGATGCCGAAGACCGCTTGTCGATCGGTCGATGAGTGCCTAAGCCTATCAATAGCGTCCTGCTGCTCCGATATTCTACTCTGAGTATCCTCTCAACATCCTACCAATATCCTCGACCGCCACCAAGCTCAAGGCAGCGCCCCCCACCCCCTGCCAGTCGGTCCCAAGGCTCTATAGAATAGAGGCTGTCTATAGGTCGGTCCCGACCACTCACTATGGGTGGAGTCCAGATGGATGCTCGTGTCACAGTCCTTCAGCGCCAGGTCGTGTTCGCCTATCGCCTGGTAGCATTCGGCACGGTCACTGAACGCGTGCGGCTTATCAGCATTCCGCCTGATCGACGCCTCGTAGGACTCTAAGGCCTTGTCGTACTTTCCTGGGGGAGGAGAGGGGGAGCGGAGAGGGGTCAGACGGTGATGTGGTGATTTACGATTTCACGACGCCCGGATTGGTCATTAGCGTCCAAAACGGCGGGCTATTAAAACGTAAAAAATAGCGTAAGAATATGTTACATCACAAAAACCGTCTATTAACACGTTAGGCATTCAAACCAATCACACTTGACGACCATACAATCAGCTGGGGCCGGCAGCCTGACGGCCCACCCGACTGAGCCAGGACGGGCCGTCAGCCCTCGCTGCGGGCGGAGGGGGAGGGGGCTCAGGACGGGCCGTCAGCCCTCGCCGCGGGCGGGGGGGGGGGGGCTTCAGCCCACCCGACTGAGCCAGGACTTATCAGCCCTCGCTGCGGGCGGAGGGGGCTTCAGCCCACCCGACTGAGCCAGGACGGGCCGTCAGCCCTCGCTGCGGGCGGGGGGGGGGGCTTCAGCCCACCCGACTGAGCCAGGACGGGCCGTCAGCCCTCGCCGCGGGCGGGGTGGAGGGGGGGCGGGGAGGCTTCAGCCCACCCGACTGAGCCAGGACGGGCCGTGAGCCCTCGCCGCGGGCGGGGTGGAGGGGGGGGGGGGGGCGGGGGGGCTTCAGCCCACCCGACTGAGCCAGGACGGGCCGTGAGCCCTCACCGCGGGCGGGGGGGGGGCTCAGCAGTAAACGTTGGTCTGGTCCCATATCTAAGTATGCCGTTACTGGGGTCAGAGGGGCGATCATGGAACGAACCATTGCGCACCCGTTACACAGGCATGAACTAAAACATACTTTTTTCTCAACAAAGTTTAAGCTGATTTGATCAGGTCCATGGCTGATTTAGAATTACAGGCTTAGAAGCTAATGAACAAACTTTTTTCTTCAAAAATCCCATCCCGCGGCAAAGTTATCCAAACAACACCCTCACTCGTTAGATGTTTCCTCCAATGAGCCCACGCGGAGGTTGCGTCCCGCATAGTCCCAGGGCCGCGGGGACACTCACGCTGTTTGTAACGAAAGTTGCCATATTCCCGCTCTAAATCTGCCATTCCGATATGGCGGCGGTCCAGTTCCACATCGACCTTCTTCGCTGTTTCCTCCAATTTAGGCAGCATATCCTCGATTTCTTTGGAATACTCATACTTCAGCGATTCCTGGTAGTATCTCCGGGCGAATGAAAAATGCTGCCGGAGACAATACAATTACTGAGACAACAGCGCAAAACGTACAATATACAGCTTACAACGGGAGCATGCAACACGAATACACAGTGGCGATGCTGAATGGACGTGACAAAGATATGCCAGCATGACGTGTTCCAGTACAGGGAATGACATTCTGCAAGTTAAAGGGACCCTCCCGCCTTCAAAAAAGTTTATGAATTGGCATGAAAGTGATGTCGCTCGGTTCAGAAAGAGCGAAAACAAATATCTACCAAATTTCACCGAAAAATATTCACCGGTTTTCAAGATATTAGACTTTTACTTTTGTTTACTTTTTTGGGATCTCCGCTGTTTCTAGCGACTTTATTTTAGAAGTGCGGCGTTCGCGGCAGATGTTGCGCGCAAATAGCATATATCACCGCGTGCTACAAAACGTTTTAGTCAAACATTTAAAAATCGTTTGATATTTGCGCTGACGTCACACATTCAGAGGGGTATTCCTAAGCATTAGCCCCTCTGAATCAAAATGCTGCAATTTTGAAATTCAATATTTCCTATTTAAGGCATTTCTCGATGTTGTGAGTGCCGGAACCGGTAATTGTGAGCCAGGGACCCCATTTTGGCTATCTCAACTCAAATCTAATGTTAAGGTGGGAGGGTCCCTTTAATGCATGGCTGCCTGATTTACAAATATTCTGAAAGACACATTACACAAGAAGATGAACTGTAAGCACAGCTATGAAATAAGCATCATACGCCAGTCTTTGTTAGTCCACGACTTAACTGTCATGAAAAGCCAGATCAGAATCACGTTCAAATCGATATTTACACAGGAGAGTCCATAGCAAATAGCATTTTGTATAATTTTTATCACTCTTACCATACCCACCATAGAATGCATCAGTAGGAACACAGCATTGAACCCAAACGGTCCTCCGAGTGCGGGCACATATCGTGTACCCAGCGGTTCCGGTGCATTTACATCAAACTCTCGCCCGATAGAGCCCAGCTAAGAGCTGCCCCGTGGCGCCCCACACGGACGGGGCTGCTTGATCACTAAGCCAGTGCGCTGCCCACCTTGAAGTTCTCGTAGCTGCGCGCGGAGCGCACGTAAGCCTTGGCGATCAGCTTTTTGTTGTCGGGGTCGTTCTCTTCTCCCACCTTGGCCGCGTCGCGGGCGAACTTGGCGGCCGTCTGGTAGTCTCCCTTCTCAAACATCGCGGCTGGAAGGCGGCGCGCGGGTCCGGGACGCGTCACAGACACTCAGAGAGACCGGGATAACATGCGTAATGAGGTATGTCAGAGGTGCACCCACTCAATCAATTCGATCAAAAAGAAAACAGTCCAAAAATTTGATATCCGCAACTTTATGTGGGGGAATATAGAAACCAGAATAAATATACAAACAAGACAACTTATGTGGCCTTTAGCCTCCATGATGAGAAACACTTTCCTCATTTTTACCAGAATAAAACTCCTAGCTGATTAAGTAACTGTGTAGTGTGTTGAGCATAAACGTGGTTAATGACAATAAAATCAGTCATAGACCTTTTCCAGTTTTCGTTGTTTTCGAAAGCAGTAAGCAAGATAACGATTCAGAGAAAGGCCCACGGCAGCGTTATTCCCCGAGGACTACACATAGGGTGTAACAAAATTATACAGGCATCTTCATTCACGCTGGAATTAAGAAGTAAAACAATCTGCGGTTCGATTTCGAATGAGCCAAAAATATGACCAGAGGTTATCCCTTTGCAACGAAGGAAAAGTTCCCTACATTTGTATTTACACGGTGCATATCTCAGCACGCATTTACGTATTACCGGTCTGTTTTCGTATCCCAAAATTTACGAATAAGATCAATGCGGTGTTTGCAAATTTCAAAAAGTGGCTCAGCATATTTGACTGAGCGAATCTTCCCCTGAATCAGAATATGCATAAATGATAAAATTACATATCCTGATTCAATTGAGGATTCGGTCAATTAAAATATGCTTATCATCATCATGTCATCGTCTGTGATTTGTTTGTTTGTTTGTTTGTTTGTTTGTTTGTTTGTTTGTTTGTACATTGGGCTTTTAGGGCACGTTGCCAGACTGGGCCATTGTCGATCTTACCGGCCTGGTTGAGGAGGAAACGCATGTCGGTAGGGTCGAGCTTATACGCCTTGCGGTAGCGTGCCAGCGCCTCCTCAAAGTCCTTCTTCTTGTAGGCGGCATTGCCGAGCTCCTTCTCCTTCAACGCCTGTGTGGAAGCGGGTAGGTCGTGAGCAGCCAGCTGTAACCAACATTTTAAGTACTGATTCCCGATGAAAAAAATCCTACCAGAAAGCAGCAAACGACTAGGCTGTACAGCAATCGACTGCAACATCACGTATAGGGATACATAGCAAAGGTCTCAGATTTCAAGTTAAATATCGCAAAAAGCTGATATCGCCGGATGATGTATATCAAAGAAGTCTGAAGTACAACTGACTCTCTATTAACGACCGTTTTCGAGCCTCTCCTTGTTTTTCGCCATCACCCAGTCTTATCGGATGTCGAGTTCGTCCTACAGACGCTGGCCGTACATCCAGTGGTGTGAATCACCCAGCTGCACCCCTCTTATCGGCCGGCGCTCGCTGCGCGTGCAGCGGCGTTATCGCCGTCCAAATGACCGCGAACCGTCACGGATAACAAAGACGACTCGCAACGGAAGATGATAAGGCTTATGATGAAACAAAAAAAAAATCTCACAATTTCTACCAATTTTAGCAGTGGATTAAACCAAATACAATGTTTACTAGTGAATAATATCTTGCCTGAAAAAACTGACCCATTAGCAAGAAAGCATGAATGAAACAGACATTGGAATGGTAGCATGGGATAATACACATTTCATAGCTTATTCAAAGAAAATACGTTATCTCTAGCACATACATTAAATAAATGGAAAAACCAAACTTCACTTACCTGTTCTTACCTGGTATTCTTACCTGGTAGGGTTCCCTTAGTCTTATTAGGATGTGATTGGGGATGGTCCGGGATAGGATAAGGAACCCAAGATTCTGAGACGCGCCAGTTCTCTGGGTACACAACTGCCAATAAGGCCATCAGAGTACACACTACAACTGGAATCGAGCGTCTTCCAATGTGATAGTTGGCAACAAAATCAGTAAACTAGAGACTTGCAATGAGAATATCGACAATGTCCTAACCTAATCTAAACTAAGTGTATGCATACAGAGAGTCATGAAGGTGGGCGTGTAACAATTGTTTAAAGGTTTTCAAGTTAGGAGTACATACTGCTTCCTCAGGCAATGAATTCCATATAGGTACACATCGAACAGAGAAGAAACGCTTTCTAACATCAGTGCGACTATGTGACAGGAGAATCTTAAAGCAGTGTCCTCTGGTTCGACCTTGGGGGGCCAGGTCAAACAGGTCTTTAGGCGATATACAAGAGTGTCCATGGAAGACCTTCCAGCACTGGATGAGGTCAGCTCTTAATAGTCTACCCTGAACTGAGTACAAGTCAAGTGTTTTTAGACGATCGCAGTAACTTAGGTTACACAACCCGGAGATGTGTTTCGTCCATTTTCTTTGTACATTTTCTAGCAGATGCAAGTCTTTAGAATATCCAGTGGACCACACGCATGAACAATATTCAATTATTGGACGAATATGAGTGGTGAGAAGGAAAAGCATGAATTCAGAGGATCTACAGACTGTGGACTTCAAAAGACTGTGAGCCAGCCCACCAGCCTTGTGGACAGTGGATTGGACGTGCTCATGGAACTTCAGGTCTACATCGATGGTTACACCGAGGTCAACGTGGGAGGTCGCAGGCTGGATGGGCACTCCATCAAGGAAATATTTAGGCACAGCAAGATCAGCTCTTCGCTTGGAGAAACGGAGCACCGCACACTTCTTTGGGTTCATATGGAGGCCCCAGGAAGCTGCAGTGGAGTGCAATGTATCAATGTCATTTTGGGCTCTCCTCATGTGATTTTGAGATTGATCATTGTAAGTATCATAGTTCGTGCAAGCAAACATCTTAAGGTCATCTGCAAATATTGCATATGTGCTGTGCAATTGGGATGCTATGTTATTAATATAAATCAAAAACAAAAGAGGACCAATCACGGAGCCCTGCGGTACACCACTAGATACATGTTTAGGTTGGCTGAAAAGACCTCTCACACAGACTCTCATGGTTCTATCAGTAAGGAACGACGATATCCATTGTAGCATACATCCATTAACACCAATCAAGCTCAATTTTGTTAGTAGCAATTCATGGCTCACAACATCAAAGGCTTTACTAAAGTCAAAGAGCATCACATCAGTTACAAGTCCTCTATCTGTGTTAAGAGAAACTGAGTTGTAAAACAGCAGAAGTTGTTCCATAGTTGATCTCCCTGATCTGAAGCCAAACTGATATGGAGATAGTAGTTCATTACTTTCAAGATAATGTCTCAGGCGAGCACATACAATTCGCTCCATTGTCTTACAGCATGTTGATGTTAGGCTTATCGGTCTATAATTAAGAGGGTCATATCTCATACCTTTCTTAAAGATTGGAATCACAGATGATGACTTCCAGCTAATGGGCACCTTACCCTCCTGCATTGATCTGTTGAAAATTAGACACAAAGGGTATGCTAATACATTGCGGCACTGTTTCAGTAGTAATGGATGTATGCCATCAGGGCCCATGGCCGAATTTCCATCAAGTTGGTCTATAGCTTCATAGACATCCTTGGGGCTTATACGGCTATGCCCAACGGACCCATCAAATAATTGGTGGGGGTGAGGGTTATCTGGGACATTTCTGGTGTAAACAGACACAAAAGCTGTTGCAAAGATTTCAGTCATTAGTTGAGGTTGGTCTGTCAGCTGACCACAATCATCTTTCAGTGGGCCTACCATTGGTCGGCTAACCTTCTTGTGCCTTATATATGAATGGAGAAGTTTAGGATTCTCTTTGGATTCTAGTATCAACTTTTCTTCGTAACTTATCTGGGACTGGACAGCAAAATTTCTATATCGTCGGTTTACACATGTAAATGCAGCATATGCAGAAAGAGCCTCCTGGGATCGCCTACCAAGCCGCCCTCTGATAGCTTTGTAATGGCCCCATGCTTTCTGCCTTTGATTTATCAGGGACGTGGGAGGTCTGGTGGACCATGGAGGTTTCTGATTGGCAGGGGGCTTATGAGGGATGTATTCCTCAATGAGATCGTGGATTATAGACGCAAAGTGACAGTATGACTCATCAGCATTCAGAGAAGCTAACTGGCAGTCCCAGTCTATAGCACTTAGGCAACGACAAATGTCTCCGTAGTGACCCTTGTGCCAAGATCTCATGAGGCCATCACATTTGCCAACTGAGGCATGAGACCCGTGGGACCCGGGATCTGTAAACACATAGTCAAATACTGTAGGGCAGTGGTCACAGCCAGGAGGAGGCGGGATCACTTTTAGGGTACCAATTCTGTCAGCTTCAGAAGTAAATACTAGGTCGAGGATGTTTCCGGATCTAGGGAAGGTAGTCTCTGTAACCCATTGGTGCAAGCCAAGGGAGATAAAGGCAGAGTAGAAATTCCTTTCCATAGGAGAGGCATGTGTGGATGGGCTGCTCGAGGACCAGTCCAAGTTCGGTAGATTGAAATCTCCAAGGACGATTACCTCTTTTCCTACACAGTAATCGACAATAAATGAGCACAAACTTTCATCGTCATCAGGAGTGTTTGATGGGGGGCGATATGCAAGCAAAATAAAAACATTAAATGAAACAAGATGAAAAGCAAGAACATTGGGAATATGAGAAACAATGTCACCAATTGTAATATTTTTCTTGACATATGCACAGACACCGTGCTTCGCAACTGGACCAGCAACATCATTACGAAGGAGGTTAAAGTGGGGTATGCCGACAAAGGAGTCTGATAGGAGGGGAAGGAGATGGGATTCAGTGACACAGACTATGTCCAAGGAAAGATCTATGACTGAATCTGCTAGAGTACTGAGTTTAGGAGCAAGGCCATTTATGTTGAGTTGGGCAACTTTAATTGGCAGGGAGTTTGGCAGGCTAGGATTCAGTTTCCCTGGGTTGACGGGGTTCCCTGGGAGTTGGAGGGGGGCACCACAGGGACAGATGGGGTAGGAGTAGGAGCAGCAGATGGCGCAGCTACGGCTGGGGCGGCTTGGTTGGTGGCTGTGTCAACACTCATGGCTTGATGGGGAGGTGGGGCTCCTCCCACAGCCCCCAGAGTTTCAGAGCTATCCTGGGCTCGTCGAGCCTGGCGCCGGTTGAACATCTCAGCTCTTTGAGCATAAGTGAGATCCCGTGAGATATAAACATGTTCATGTCGTGTGCCCCGGAGGCTCTTCGCTTTGTCGAGGATTTCTCTACGGGTGTCATCATGAGTAATTTTGACTCGAAAAATATCAGCATGTCCAGAGATTTTCTGCACTTCAGTAGGGACAACCTTAACACTGAACTGTCTCTCTGCCAACTGAACAAAGCTGGTGGAAAAGTCTGTGACTGAGTTGGCTTTTAGCCCTTTGACTATGATGGACTCTTTACGTTTTTCCCTTTCCTTCAGCTCCCTCAGCTCCTCACGGATGGCTGACCTGTACTCGGGTATGGTCTTGAGCGGTTGGGAAGAGGGTACCATCTGAGGTGCGCGAGGGAGAGGCTGGATGGGGGCCTCTCGATCCTGCACTGAAGGAGTGTCGAGAGATCTCTGGCCTGTTTGGAGAGAAGTCAGGGATTGGATCTGTTTGGATAGTTCCTTCACCACACCACATATTCCCCTGATCTGATGAAATAGTTGCTTTAGAGTTCCTGCAACATCAGGATCAGCATTAGCAGGGACAGATTTGCCTTTCATGGTCACATTGGAGATCCTACATTGCATGCATGAAAATTTTATACCATCACCACTGTACTTGGAGATAGCTTCCCTAACATCCGAAGGGAGACCCGAGCACATGTCCGAGTTGTGCACCCAGGTTTCACAGTCATCACACCCGATCGCGTCGTCCCCAACATCCAGACAGCAAGATCCACATAGTTGAGTCCCTTCAGCAGCATTGGTGGCAGAAGCACCTGCTCCCCGCCCACCCTTCGCCCGTTGGCTGCTTTTGCGGGTCATGCTTCCCAAGCGCTCAACAGGAAAAGCCACAGCACACGTGCACAATCAGTGTCAAGCGCTAGCTCAATCAGTGTCCTAGCGCTAGCACAATCAGTGTCCAAGCAATCCTCTAGCCAGTGAGCAGGCAACAGGCAGGGAGGCCAAGGTGCAGGAGAGGACAGAGTGACAAGACAAGACAATTAGGTACTTCCAACCAGGCTTAGAAGGCCATGCAGATTGCAGACAGCTTCATGCAGACAGCAGGCAGACCAGCGGCTCCTCAGACCAGCGTGTTTCCGTTTCGCCAGCTCACCACTCCTTGCGAGTTGCGCACGCTCCGGATGGTGACAAACTTCCGACCAAGTTACTACCAAGTTAGTTAACACATCCAACATGCTATATACCAACCCTCTTGGTAATAAGCTTCAATAAGCTTGCATATTGTGCACAAGCTTGTTTCCTTCTTGCTAAGAACAAGAGAGGTCTACCACAAAAATAACACCATTTCCAGACAAGAGCTTACCTCTTCTTTATGTGACATGGCTGCAATTAGCTCTTTATTGGCAGCTATACAGATGGGTGCCCAAAATATCTGGACAGCTTCAGCAACTGATGTAACCGTCCCCAAGGATGGTTTACCAGCCCTGATTGATATACCTGTGAATGAGTGACGGTCAGACATTTGTAAGAATTGCACTGTTCTTTTCTGATACCTATGGACAAAGCAGCCTAATCTTTTATAAAAATCCTATGAGTAGAAACTGTTCATTTACTAATTACTAAAACATATCAAGCACAAGACTATTAGAGTGTGATAAATAAATAAGCATGCAAGCAGGGGCTCTGGATTGGAGACTCAGAATAAGATGTCTTACCTCGATAATAAACAAATTAACAACTTGATTATAGTCAACGCCAGTACCCAACTCACGTCTTCCACAGCTCCTTCAATTACTCAGGCTGAAAGATAACCAGTAACTGTGACAATGCCAGTCTAGGGCCTCCTGCTTTCCAACATGCATGGGCAATCATATACAGGCATCTCACATGCTGCCACTCATTTGTGAAAGGTTGTTACCTCCAGCTCCTGAGATATTAATGCAAATTTTGTTGTAAGATGCACCCAGGGCAATAAAGTAGCAAGGTTTCACATTGGTAGGTTGTAAGTTTGTAGCTTGTAGTTTTGTTGGTTTGTAGGTTGTAGGTTAGTAAGGTTAGGTTAGGCAAAATTAAAGGGACCCTCCCACCTTAACATTAGTTTTGAGTTGAGATAGCCAAGTTTGCGGCCAGGCTCAGAAACCACCATTTATCCTGGTCGCAACCCCCGCAGCTTTATGGTGTTCAAGAAATTTCTTCCCTTTACTTGCAGGGTGGGACCAGCGTGGTCCCTATCTCTTAACCATTACGGGAATCTGATGACGTCATCAGGCTTTCGAACGTCCGTTAAATGTTTGACTAAAACGTTTTGTAGCACGCGGTGGTATATGCTGCTTTGCGCGCAACAAATGCCGCACTTTCAAAGAAAGTCGCTAGGAACAGCGGAGATCCCAAAAAGTAAACAAAAGTAAAAGTCTAATATCTTGAAAACCGGTGAATATTTTTCGATGAAATTTGGTAGATATTCGTTTTTGCTCTTTCTGAACCGAGCGACATCACTTTCATGCCAATTCATTAACTTTTTTGAAGGTGGGAGGGTCCCTTTAAACTATATTTTGTTCTGTAAGACTATTTGAATTGACCTTAATATCAGAATTTTGTAAATATTTCCAGAACTGGAGAGTCTTGCGACTTTTCACCAATGGCTGGCAGCATGTGAGATGCCTAGTATATGAATACCCGTGCATGCCAGATCTATTGCACTTTCCGCAATTATTTAACCATACTGCATTGTGCGCAGTGACCTATACAATATAAATATACGAGTTACATCGTCAATAACACATATTTTTATCTTGACAGTAGCTAGGAAAAGGTGCAGATTTTGTCAGTATCAGCTACATGACCTTGGATATAGAACAGAACTAAGGGAATTTAGATTGTGATGCTCGAGCACCCCTTGAGTTAAAGTTGAGTGCGCCACCTTATTGCAAAAACACACCTCAACCTTGAATGTCAACACAATAATCAATTTCACATGATATCTAGGTATGAGCCCACAAACACATAGGTAGTGTTCATTGAAAAATTATGCATTATCATTTATCAACACTGGTATCAGTATTGCCATCAATATCAAACTTCAAAGACAATGGTATTGTTTACTCCGGGGGTATATAATGTGTGCCACGAAGTCCACGTCTCACTGACCAAGTGACCAATGTCCTGCTACTCAAGGCCCTATATACCAGGTAGGGTCGTCCGGCGATTCTACCTTTTCGTGACGTCAGCTCGTGACGTCATTTGGAGTCAAGTCTCGAAGCCCCGTTCAATCCTCATGTAAATGAGCGATTTTCGAAGCACTGTAGAATGAAGTCTGCACAAGATATATCAAACTTAAGTATCTTATCTGAAAGAGCAGACAATTTTCTGCAAGTTATCTATTACGTGTTTTTCGCTAAATCTTTTGCTTTTTTCATAAAAGCGTAAAATGTCCCCCCATGTCTCCGCAGCCTCCCTGCCGCCGGCCGCCGCGCGGTCGCGGTAGTGTAGTGGTTAGCGTGCCCGCGCAGTATTCCAAAGGTCCCGAGTTCGAATCTATGCGGTGTGGAACTTTAATTGCAATTCCAAGCTGAACATACACACATCCATAATAAATTATTATTCGTATAGCTAAACTGTCACCAAGCTATCCATATAAATTGACTTCACCCAAAATATCGGCAAGATTCTATTAAAATATAAATTCAAATATGGCGGCTTGGACTGCCGCGTGCGTTAGGCTCCGCCCATAGCTCCGCCCACATGCGTGACGTCATTCGTGTTAGTGGACACGCAGAGAGATAGGGGACGACATGGGCCTGCTGCTACTCAATATACCCTGTGTCCTGCTAATCCAAATCTCAAGAGCATCTCAAAGCAAACTAAACCACTGAAACGACTAAAACTGACCGACTAAAAGTATGACGTTGACTGACACACAGACTGACACAGACTGACACTGACACACGCAAAAATAGTGTGCGCCACATTCGTCACAAAGGCAGTGTAAACGTCTATTTGTTATTCCTGCCATATCAAGTATTTTCTTCATCATGAGGGAACCAACGATTTTCACGATCGTGCAATCTTGCACAATAGTGAATAGCCTGTAGCCACATACCTATAATCAGGCACGTATCCAGGATTTCGCTCAGGGGGGGGGCGACAGCCGAGAAGGGCCCGGAGGTCAGCCAAAAGGGGCCCCACAGCGACTGCCTATCCTGGCGTGTAAAAATTCGAGAATGTCGAAAAAACAGCAAATTTACGATATAATTTGGCATTGTAAATGAAAATGCATTGTCTTGCGTTTCTCGACCTTGATAACATGTTTGCAGTTAGCTTCCGTTGAAGTTCGTTTTTGCAGTTCACTTCCGTTGAAGTTCGTTAACCCGCGCCCGGCCGGGGGGGGGGGGCTGTTTGAACACCTCCTCCTTGCGGTTTTACGTGGATATAAAAAAGAGGGATGAATCTTATCTACAGATATGAAAATTTTACACCCAGGTCGCTCAAGGTCAGGTCACCAGACCACGTCAAGTGACCTCACCTCAGAAAAGGTTAGAATGCTCTCCATAGCAACACCGACTGAACGATCGGCTTGAAACTTTTAGCGATTGATAAGAGTAACAGTATGTATAAAATGATTATCTCGAAATTTGCATACCGGTGGTGACATAAGGTCAAGTCAATTTTTGCGCCCTCTCCATTAGGTTTTATAAATGGGAGAAAATCGAAAGGTGCCTCTTTTAGGCAAACGTCATCCTAGGCACCCTCAATCACCTGGTTACATAAAAAATGACAACCTAAATCGGAAATTTGTACCCGTGACCCCTCCTTATGTCTATGGGGTCATCTCAGGTCACGAAACGTCTCCACAGCTTTTGACAATAGCATTTGTTAGAGACACGCTAGAGCGTTGAAAACACCTTAGATGTGTTCAGGCCTTATCGACGATACGGTTTGACGGATGTGCAACATGACCTTTCAGGTCAGGTCACCTTGAATTTAGTTCAAATTTTCTAAATGACCTGATAAGGTCAAATTATATGTAGTTCATTCGACGCGTCTCGACGAGAGTAACACGATGCTGACAAAAGAAATGTCGTGCCTTTTCCTGAGTCGAAAATTGTTAAAGAAAAAAAGTGTTTCATAAAACGACTATTTTAAAAGTTTTTTCTCTCAAGAGGCTAAACCGTTAACCCGAGCACCGACGGGGGGGACTGTTATCCGCCCCCCCCCCCTTGAGGTTATGTGGGAAAACCGCGGCGCGTAGCGCCGCGAAATTTGGCATGACTATTTTCTCATTAATTTTACACATGGTGTGCAAGTTTGAACCTCCTAACTTTTAAGGTCAGATCACCAGGTTACTTCGAATGACCCAACCTCAAATCACTTTTTTGCAACTTTGTCACGTCGTGTCAGAGCTACAGTAGATAACGGAGTATGATTCGATGCGGATTGACGAGAGGATCACGATGGTGCCCTTAGTTTGTTCCTAGCTTGGCTAATTCGAAAGTTATTCGAGAAAAACTCTTCATATCTAGCGCCGCCATTTTGACTTTTTTTACCCCTGTGACGTCATCTTTGACCTGATCTGGAAATGACCTAATTAAAAATTGTAGACCTTGTCCGTGCGTACCCCATGCCGTTTACCGCTTGTCGCTATCTTGCTTCGTTCTTGAGATCTCAGCAGGGCCTATTTTAACATGTTAACTGGGGTGGCAAAACCCACCCCAGTGGTGCGGTTTTCCACCCCAGTCGTCTTGCTTTGCCACCCCAGTGCAAAACAGCCCAAAAGTCTGCCCACAGATATTGGCTGCCGACAATCACGGAGGCGATACATTCTTGGGGCGAACTCAGCTTGACAGGGGGAAAAGGGCTCACTGAGGCGCCACCACCACCAATGGGATGCCCTCTCACTACTGGGGGCGCCCTGCCGCAACTGTGGCGCCCTACTTTTTTATAAATTTAGCTTGAATGTTTGAATGGACGGATTGACAGAGCCGGAGCCCACGCTAAGCAGAGCTTGTTGCGTAGACCCCGACCCCTACCGTCCGATCGCGCAATTCCGGGTAACGGAATAATTTAGATGCCTAAGTTTAACGTGCCCTTCAAAGCCGGACACAACCTGTCCCACTCAACTGACTTCAACTGGCTGCGGCTGCTCCCACCAACCGCAGACCATCCCCGTCAGGAGTCTCAAATATCGAGCACCGGAGCGACTCGAACCCGGGCTCTCACTACCGGGAGTCCGGTGCTCTACCAACTGAGCTATGGGACTCTCTAATTCGATTGGGACACACTACCGGCAATGGCGCGCCCTACCAGCACTTGGGCGCCTACCACGACTGAAGAGCCCTATCAACATTCGGGCGCCCAGACACGATTGGGGCGCCACACCACTACTGGGGCGCCAACTGCACCTTTGGGAGCCCTATCAGTATCGGCCGCAAAATTAAATTTGTCATGTGGCTATGAGACAGGCCGTGTGATCAACAATGGATTTTCAAACGCACGTGCACGCATTGCTTCTGACGAGGGTATTTCCAAGAGAAAAATCTGGCGAGCGGCGGTTTAACCCGCGCCCCGCTGGGGGTCCTGGATTTCCACGCCCTGCTGGGGGGGCGGGGATTTGAACACCCCCCATCTAAGTCGGCTCCTGGGCCAAGTAGCGACACGCGGTAAGCGACATCCGAAAGAACGTCAAAAACCATGACGAAAATACCCACTTGTTATTTTTTAGGTCAGGTCAAAGGTCAGGTCACCAAAGGTCATCAAAGTTCAAATTTTGTTATTTCAACATTTTTCGAAACTGCCGACGGACAACTCGGGAACCAATAGAGCTACAGCGCCGCGGAAAAGCGCAATCGATAGCTCTTTTACAGGGCTTTCTGAATAATGTTCTCAGGTTTGACCTCAGGTCAACGGTTTAGCCTCCAGAGTGCAAAAACTTCGTTTTCTTCAATAACTTTTGACTCAAGAGAGACACGACAGTATTTTTGCCAGCATGGTGTTCCTCTCGTCTAGACGCGTCGAATGAACTATAATTTGACCTTGAAAGGTCAACTTGAAAATTTGACTACAGGTCAAGGTAATGACCTGACCGGAAATGGTCGAGCTGCATATCAGTCGATCCGTATCGTCGAGCCAAACACATCTGAGGCGTTTTCATCGCTCTAGCTTGCCTCTATCAGAAGTTATTAGCGAAAAACTGTTGGATACCATTCGTGACCTGATATGACCTCGGGGGCATAACGAGGGGTCACGGGTGCCATTTTCTGGTTCAGCGTGTCATGTTAACTCGTAATTTAGTGTTTGAAAATGTTTAGAATGGCGTTCGTCTAAAAGAGGCGCTTTTCAATTTTCTCCCATTGACTTATACCTAATGGAGAGGTCGAAAAATTGACCTGACCTTAGGTCATCGATATCGAAATTTCAAGATAAAGTGACCTCGAGTGGCGCCGGCTTCTTGGTATGGGAAGGTGTTTATCATGGACGGATCGGGGGGGGGGGGGGGATTTGAGGGCCATCGGCATAAGCAGTAAAAGTTCTCTGACGAAAGGGGGTTGCACCATGCACAGCCGACTTTTGGCTTAATTCTTTCCATGCATCGCCCGAAAGGGCTATGTTAGAAAAAAAAAACTATGCCAACAAAGGCCTCCAGACACTTTCCCGAAACGTTAGCCCTTACGTACTACCGTCACAAAGAAAAGATTCTGAGACTCGATTGCGACGCCCCCCCCCCCCCCCATCGAAATGCTGCGCACAGCAGTATTTCGGTGGGGGGGGGGAGACGCCCACACAAGAGACAGGGGCGCCACCACTGCCTGGCCACCCCAGTCCAATTGTCTTAAAATAGGCCCTGGATCTCAGGGGGCGGGCGGTCATCCGCCCCCCCCCCCCGTCGGTTCTAAGTTGGCGCGGACCCCCGTCGGTGCGCGGGTTAATCGCAGGTCAATTCTGAGAACAGTTTACGGAAAGAACGTTAAAAGAACTATTGAATGCGTTTTTTTTTTTGTGGCGCTGCAGCTCTGTTTGTACCCGGGTTATGCGCCGGAGTTGTCAAACAATGTTGAA